TGAGGATCCCAGACAATAACAGCCTTTCAATTTTATGAACTTCATAATATGTATTATTCAGATTATGTTCCGACTAATATTCACTAACGTTTGTCATTATTGTACAATATTATCGCCCTAAATAATGTAAACTAGGAATTGTATGAGTTAAATGTACCTGACAAATAATAGTCTGGAACACAAAGTCCCTAAAGTCTTTAGATGTCGATCACGTTAACAGGTTTTATTTTGAAAGTGTTTCACAACTCATTTCATATGTTTTGAGCTAAACCATCGATACGTCCATATGTCATAAGAGATTATAGTGTCTTACAAATGACACTGATGTCCTTGAACATTTTTACAATTATTCTCGGATTGATACCAGGCAAGATAGGATATACTTACTCTTCTAGATATCTGATAACATTTTTCATTATGAAATACCTATTCATTCATAATTTTATTTTATAATACTTATATTCTAGTCACCACAGCGAACATTTTATATAATCACTCTAGATGTGCCTCAAGAGACATGGTTGATCTTTGCAGAAACAACTGAATCGTGTTCGAACAAATTATAAATTCCTCACCAACTATTGCTGTGGTTTAAGAGAGTAACCTGTCTACAACCACGTTGTATAATTCTATGTTTATTCTTTTAATGGTGTCAAATCAAGGCCAGAAACGGGTGCAAATTAAATTGTGAATAAAAAAGTTAACATGAAATAAATGGAGTTTTACGTCTTACTTTGGGTTAATAAGAAGGGCAACGCTATGCAGTGTACTTTTTTAATTTCCAACTTTCTAGGGATCTTTAATATGAACAGATTGTAAAACACTGGGCCTCAGGACTAGACGCCTTTCAGGTTTCCAGGTCAGTCCATCCAACTCGCATTACTGACCGGGTTGAAAAGGTTATATTCCGACCTGTCTATGAAATAAAAATGAAACTTTTGGAAAATATTTTCATATTGATGGAATATAAAATAGTTTTAAAAGAATCTGAATTCGTTTCTTTATTTTGAGACAAAGATTACACCACCATTTAGTCTGATTGAGATACTTTGAGAAGGAGACAATATAATAGTTTAAGACATTAGGACATTAAACAATTTGAAATTTTTATTATATTTTAATGGATGTCTGGCAAATTTAACTACAGTTTAAGAACATTGTCTATTACATTGAGTCTTGGATCCGATACATTTTAACTGTTTACCAAAAAGTCAGTACATGGGCCTTACCTTTGTGACCTGTATCTGCATGGACTTGAACTGCTAGACCCGCGTGATCTGCATCTGCAGGGGTATCGCCTACCTGCATGACACATATCCAAATCGGATTCTCTTTCAGGGCCTATATCAACATGGGCTTTGCCCGCTATACCTGTATCTACAATAGCTTCACCAACTATACCTGTATCTGTGCCTGCATAAACTGCTAGACATGTATCTAACTTAGCTTAACCGTGCGTGGCATCTATCTTCATATTGGTTTACCCGTAATTAAACGGGCTTTACCTGTATGACCTGTATCTACATGGCTTCACCTGCATGACCTGCTTTATCTTCACATTTATCTATCCATGTATATACATTAGCTTCTCCCCCTGTAACTGTATCTACCTACATAAACTTCAATTGCTCTAATTTGGCCAAACCGTGCAAGACCCGTATCTAAATGGGCTTTACCTGTGTGATCTTTATCTACATGGCTTCACCCACTAGACCACTGACTAGACGGGCTTTACATGCGTGATCTGTATCTGAACCTACTAGACCTGTATTTAAATCTAAATGTCCTGCAACATATATCTGCAACCCACATGCGCTTTACCTACAGTGTGACTTGTATCTGAAGGGGCTTCAACTGCGTGACCTGTAAACTCAAAATGCAATGCATCTTCAGTGGGGGTATACTAATGCTCCTTTCTGTTATATAGGTTCTATTACAATCAGATAGAGATTTCTATTCTTGCTCTACACGTGAAAGTAAGGTGATTTTATTTTTCATTATTCCGGTCGTTCCTTCCTAGATGTTGTTGAAAATAAGTTGTGTCATCCAATTCGATAAAATATGATTTTAACTGAAGACTACATAATATTCTACAACAATAAGTAATCGAAATACTACACTTTAATTAACAATAGGTTATTATTTCTAACAAAGCTCGCGATTATACGCCATAACAAAGTCCACGATTATATATCATATAGTGTTGTCATAATTTACCATTGACTTTATCCATAATGTACTTTTGAGAGATTAGAGAAAGTAAAGGGTAGTCACGTACTTCTTAAGGCTATTAATTAGCCACCTTTGTACAAAGGCTAAGACAAGATCTTAACAATAATTAAATAATGTTCTTATTAAAGACACCTGCAAAGAGAAAATCAATGCTTAAAGAAAGAAAGGCGTATCCTTGAAACCCACAGGTAATCGTTAGGGAATATAGCAAGCAATATTGAAATAATGTGAAAAGAACACATGTATTTCAATTGTGTAAATAATGAAATAATTTCATTTTTAAAATTCAGATTGAATAAAGTGTATTGATTAAAGATATCGTGTTCATAAAAAGCACAATGTTCAGAGCGTGTAACCTGCCGTGGCCTATCGACGCTGTAAGTATGCTGTATTGTATAATAATGCTATCAATGAGGAAGATCATTGTCAAATAATTAACTAAGTGTCATTGAAGTCATCAATTCATATCATTTTGCAGGATTCCCAAGCATCCCATTTTAGCTTAAAATTTGGAAATGTGAATGAAAATCGTTCGCGGTGACACAATGGTATTAGACGCAAATAATACATAAAAGTTCCAAAGTTACTTTTTTAGCTTTTTAAATGATTGACTTGAAATTTTACGGTTTTTTCTTCTCCTATTTGTGCTATTGAAGACGGGCAACGATGTGTATAGTATGCAATTGATTTTCGATCACAGTCAAAGGATCTTTAACACACATAGCTTGTTTATTGGATCTTGGTTTATTGTGTCATACGAACGAACGACTTTACGCTTTTTCCATTCCCCATCCACATACAATCCTTGATCCCTGACAGAGGGATATGGATTTAGCAAATTCTAGCGTGATATGTTGACCTTACCTACAACTGCACCGATCACCGGACTGTTGACTTGCTTTCCATTGAAGACAACAAGTTGAAAATAGCAATTTGATCAGCCTATAGTTAAATAATACAAAACATTGTATACAACAGATACAGTAATATCTCTAGGGATGACAATGAACCAAGATGTCCACAGTTGATAACTATACAGTGTTATCATACATAATTCAATTTACTTTTGACCTAATCTAGCATAGACAATGTCTCCCTCTAGATTATTTATTACTCCTCTTTAAACAGAACTTAATTGAATATCTTACTCCCGAGATAGACTTTGAAAAATCGCCCAAGCATGAGTACAGTGCTAAAACAGTTGTTATCGCCTTGTCTGGTAAATTTACAATTTTCGATATTTATCACAACTAAAATTATCTACAATCGGCAGTTGTCTTTCATTTATGGACCCGATGCTACATTGTTATGTAATATGTAACATTAAAACCCTATTTTGCCTTTCAGGTAAAATGTGATTGTGTTTTCATTAATGGGAAAAAATCAGGATATGAAAAAACATCAATCCAAACACATTGTCCTTCAATAATTGATCTAAGATAATCACCTATAGCTGAATCCGATATTTGACTATTAGCCAAAACAGACTCTCAATCAACGATCCAACAATTACTAGTATCAACATCATTCTGACCGCAAACGTTATCTCAACGCGGAAAATAACATCCGTCATCATTTCAAAATGGTTAAACTCTTTTTTCAATACATTAAGGTTAATTCAAAGTTATTGAGTATGGTTTTATTGTTGTAGTGAGTTTTAGTATATTTTAATTCTGATCAATTGTGTTCTGTGTGTTTTAAGTTTCTTTTCGAAATGTACAGACATATTCCAATATAACACACATATAAGTACAATGATTTTCTACAAATGTTATTTGTATGTTCATCTATTTAGATAATGTGCGTTTGAATTACTCTCCAAATGTTTTTTGTGTTCGTTGTTCCTTAATTAAAGCCCTGTTTTGGAAAAGATGCGTCCCAAACGACGAATTAATTGAAACTTATTTCGAAAGGTATTTGTATGTTAATGTAGGTCACGAAGGAATTTAGTGTACGGTGTTTATCTCTGTATTTTCATCTTTTTTCGACAAAAGTCAATTGTGAAAAATAGCACTTACCTCGACCTTGACAACACAGTTATCCTTTCCAGTGCAGACTACTTCCGTAGATTGTGGCAAATTCAAGAAAAAAGACACACTTTTAGCTGGAGAATTTTCCGTCAGAGGTGTAGATCCATGTTTTGTTAATCCAATAGCACCAAGCCCAGTTAAGGAATCTTGTGAAATATCACTTGGGTATTTAAAAGATAATTCCAGAGTTCGTTTGGGGGACAGATCCCGCGGGAAAAAAGTAACACTTTTGGTAGCAGGTGAATCTTGTGGTGATCGAGTTCTGCCTGGTGAATTCGGATAAGATCTAACACTGTGAGGTGTACTACTAATTCGTTGAACTAGTTTGTGTTGACCCTGTTTAGATTGGGATCGTCCTTGAAGCACCGTCGGAGCAGACCGTCGACGGGGAACGGCCCGTGAGGCACTGCTCCGACGCGGCTTGCGCACCATGGTACCTGCCCGTGTCAACATGGACATGTCTAAGTACTTCCACGTTTTGATACCTTGATACCGGTAATATTGTCAACAGTCATGACGGTAACAGTTTTACCGTGAGCAAGTTTCAAGAGTAATATAGTGACAGTGATTTGTGGCGTGTTAACAATTGATCCGATGTTGTGTGACACTAAGACATGACGACCATTTCCATCTACCAACTTGTCGTCTTTCTCTATGTTGTTAATAGATAGCGAGTAGTCCATTCATTAATACTTAGACACAAAACAGGTCTAGTAGAAAATCCATTTTTATAGAGAAAAACCAATATTTTATTTTAGTGCAGTTTAGTTTCGATCTAAAATATCATATTCTATTTCAAAGCATAAAAAAGGAAAAAAAAGAAGAATACAAGTCGGCTAGACTTTAAAGAAACTAAACAAAGTAGTTTTCTCAGTTATCAAAGACCGCATTGAAAACGATGTAAGAGTTAAACAGGCTACACATAAATTGGAAAAAAATTCGTGTACTGCAATGAATGTTCTATCAAACAAATGAAGAAAATGGGTACGAAGTCACTAGAATTTGTTGTGTGGCATGCTGATTATTGAAATTTTATAATTTTTATTATATATTACTTATCGATGGCGATATGTTTAGTTAATGGCTTATTTCGTGTCCTGGGGTTGATCGTAGGGACGACAAAGATGGCCTCTTTTACTTCATTGACTATATTCTAAAAGTCAAATCACTTGATGATCAGACGAACATCCATTACTGTGATTAATTTTAATCCAAAAGGATAGAAATTAAATTTGTTCTATGAAAAGTATTGTACAGGATATCGCGAAACGTAATTATGTTTAAGGAAGTGCTGAAAACTGTAAGGATGCTCAGCATAATTTGCTATTCCTGTTGAAGGTGATTATTAATTTCATTTGAGTAATGGCAAGGTTGTTGCGACGAAATGTGCATATTGCCCGAAGCCAGCCGAAGAAAATCTGATTTGGTGATGCTTGAAAAACCCATCTTAACTGAATCTGGAACGGCTATAATTAACAAGTTGTAAAGTATGAAAGAAACGTCGAGAACTAGAAATTGATGTCAACACATATTGACGTACTACAGTGAAAACTGTAGTTAATCACATTTTCCACTAATCTTGTCTTGGCTTTTAAACTGTCTTTTAATCTGCCTGAGCCCATTAGTTACCACTACCACTTTCAATTAACCTTCTATGAGCTGGTTTGTAATCCATTTCCAACAGCTTTTATACATAAACATGTATAAATGGATTTTTAAAGAAACTCAAATGATCTTCGAGAAAACGGTATTTATGTCTGCAACAATTTTTGTCCCAACAAGCAAGTTCTTTGAATTTTGTATGTCAGTCCAATGATAATAGATTTTAAAATCAATTCAGAAATAGTACCATGGGACCTTTTGTTCAACGTTAGAACCCATTTGAATTTCAAACTTGTGTCTTGCTGTTAAACACCTTCATGTGTCCACATTCAGATGATTTGAATATTTATTTTGTTTATACCTTTATAACACAATTTAGCATACTGAACATACACAAACATAAAAGCTCGCGAGAAATACCACGATACAGTAGTCAGGACTCCATAATACTTGGGATGCGTGAGCCCGCAAATTTTGAAAATAAGTTTCACATACTATAGCAAACCTTTACATCAGAAAAAATATTTGATATAAAAATACAGCTAAAATGACTAATTTTCCAAAGGTAATAAACAATTTTGAAAACTAAGTCCTGGCGTGGAAACCAAAGTGAGTCTTGACGGATGTGTTGTGACAGCCTGAAAGAAAAAAGAAATTCCATCAAAGGTACGTTCTCCCCAAGAGGATACAGTAATGTCTTTCTACCTGTAAGGTGCATGGAAAACTGTCAACTCAATTTAACCTACCTCTATTTAATTAATTATAGGTTACACAGCTCGCGTTCGTCTTTAGGGTTGATATTGCAGTTATCAACCACTCAAGCAGGTAGAAATCGAATATATCTTAATGGACGTCGAGACAATTTTAATTTTCATAACTAGTTTAATAGTCTACTTACAAGAAATCGAACTTTATATCTCTATCTACTTATTAGACATAGTTTATGAAGAAAATTAGGATTTTCAAGATGAAATTGTCTGCATGACTTGGACTGGACTTGGCGATGATTTGATAACAATTGACGAATGGAAAAGTGGACAATCCCAATGTTTCACAAGGATATATGTAGTATGTTCGGCGTGCAGAAGCAAAGATTCACAAACCTTCTCAATTGATCACGACAGCTTTGCAAGAGCGGGAAAAATTTCATTGCTTGTCATATTAAATTCCGACAGTTCTAGTCGTTTCCGGGAAATATCTAATATTAGTTATTGCCCTTGTTTTTGAAAATGCGTTCAAGTTTTAACTTGCAAACTTATCACTTAAGAAGGCACGATTCTCCACAGATTTTAACGAAACTTGGAATTGTTAATTATCACCAAAGGATCAGCATTATTGAAATAGTAAACGGAAAGAATAATCATGAATCATGAAGTATGAATACTCTCAGAATGTTTTCTTTAATGATAGCTCTCAACCTCCTGGGCGACTTGGCTACCATAGCAATTGTCTATGTATTACGATGGCCATCGCTATCTTCATCTGTGTATCCTTGTTTTTTTTTTACATTTGATATTGAATAAGAGAAAATAATAATGCGCCCGTTTGTATTGCAGTTAGAATTAGATGCTCTGGATGGGCCCTGGATAATACAGTTACTTGAAAAATAACGAGTTCCGATATGAAGCTTGACAATCGTGGAGCACCTCTTAACCTTCGGTATAGAGTCTGTCCGTGGCAGTTATTTTTGCTAAAGTGGAATATTTCATATTTCATATTTCATTTCATATTTCGTGAAAATCGTTTAGAGTGCTCACGTTCTTTCAGTTTTAAAGAAAACAATCATGCAGGCTTGGCTGAAGTCAACAGATCTTGTAGATATTCAATTAAATCTTAAAACATGTGACTTTATTATAGCAGGAAAGGTAGACATTGGAATGAACTCTTGTGCAAGAGTTGATGAGTAAAATATACCTTTATATCAAGTTTATTCGTCTTTGCTATGGAATCTCCTCTGTAGACTGTTGTATCTAAAAATCGTATTTAGGTTTTATGGAAGAATTGTGATTATTTGAGAATTTCTAGAAAACGACCATAAAAAATTGGCTCAAATGGCTCATACATAACGTTTCCTCTCTGCCATGAAAAGGTTGGGGAATCGCTCGCCAATAGCATATTTGCAGATGGGTTACCATAGAATGTAAAGTAATTGCGACTTTTGCAAATCTCTATGGTCTGTTGAATTTGAACCCGGGTTTCTTTCGAATGCTTTACGGTTTGCCGTTATTCCAACAGTAGTATCGATATTAAGCTTGGGTGAAGGAGGTTTTGCTACCTGGTCGCAGTTGTTAACCTGCAGGAAAACGGAGGCTGGTTCGTTATCATAGTCGTCATTGTCGAGGACTAACTGGGCGTGAGGGATTTGGTCATCAAGGTAAGAAATAATTTCGGTATCTGAAGAAGTCTTGGTAATTTGATTCAGTTTCGACTAGTCAAAAATTGAAGGTGGATTTTTGTACGGCAGGAAGATCTTTGTTTAATGTTTTGTTTAATTGGTTTAATGCACTGGTTACCAACCCTGCGGATGTGGGACTAGGGTGACAGGGGTGTGGTCAACTGGTGTAGGAGAAGGATTTATGTCGAGTTGAGAGCGCAAATGCTGAAAATGTAGAAATAACAATTTTTTTAGTGTGTGAAAGGTCCATGTGATTGCTCCAGGGGTTTGAAGGCTGAAATAGGTTGGGAACCACAGGTTTGATATATTAAAAGTAATAATAATGTTGATTTTATAATATAAAAAAATTCATCTCTGATTCTTCACCGAAACCTTTTACTTTACGATTGCCGTGTCACCAATGGTATCAAAATGGTTTTTATATCTCAGCCCGATAATCCCCTGTTCATGGAGACTTGTGCCGTCACTTCACCCGCTTTTATTTGCCGTTTGATATGTTGCACCTTTTCCATAAATCTGTAATCATGCATCGTTTCCAACTTTTTTCCCGCGGACTTTGGGAGTTAGATAGCAAAAAAAATTAGTTTTGGTTGAAAGGTTATCAAGATTAAAGTGAAATATCATTGGAATGTCTGGATGATGCAGTGATAGTTGACAAATAACACATGTAGCACTTCTTTTGATAGATACCAGTTCCGTTGCTGACTGACTCAGAACATTTTGTGTAAAGTGGATCAATCTGACCCATGACGATCTATTGAATTCTGCTCCATATATCAATTACTAGACATGCGACAATCAAATTTGAAATTTTTTCTTGTATATATTTAATAATTATTGTGATCAGTTGCCTCACTTGACTATTGAAATTTATTTACAATAGTAACGAACTTCATCGGTCACTATTTTTTGTTACTATTTGTAGATAAGTAAGTTAAGTAAGAATGTGAGGCGCCAGACTGGTATGATTACTCTTATAGACACCTGGAACCAGCTTTTTATTACGAAATTCTTATTATTATTAATAAGTCAGTAGGCTATGTTGTTTGGATTTCGGGTTTTGTCTAGCGATTGTGATTGGTATTTATCATATTAAGACGATTTCTCTTTTATTGTCGACACATCACCACTATTTTCCGATGGTCTACATGTTATATTGGAAATACAATTGGCTTTATCATTGGACGTAGCCTACACACTGTATATTGCCTTCACCCTAGTTATCCGTCAGAATGTCAAATGTCTTGAGGAACTAAATTATATATTAGAATGTCCATGGATATATAAGTTCCAATTCTTGAATAGTGATTTCTCAAAGCTAATAAATTCAAATATCGTCAATAATTGGCTGTATAGATATGTGCCAATTTGTTATGAGAAGATTTTAATACTAACGATTACTATTTCTCGTTTGATATTGTAACGAAACGGGACCAATATCACATAATATAGGTAGTTATAT